GAAAAAAAACAAAAAACACACACACACACACACACACACACACACACACACACACACACACAAGCGATTCATTCCAACGCTGACAGGGTTGACCTCATTGCTTTTTCACTGTTCCTATGACGACTGTCCCTGCTGGTCAACAGGATCTGACTCTTTTATTTGTCATGGCAACACATTACACATCAGAAGCATGCCCTTAGCAACCCTTCTGGGGCTGGTGCTATTAAAACAACATTGAATGGCTGGATCATTTCAACTGATATACAGTAGCCTACCCAACTTATTGAGAAGGAAATCAGAATTAAAAGGTTAAGGTATAAATTTAATTCAAGATATAGCCTATTCAGAGAAATCAACATCCACATTTTATTTAACATTTTGTTTTATTTGTATTTGCATTTCTCCACAATCTTGCTTCTAAGATAAATATGATTACTTTACTTTTTATTTTAAATAGGTCTAGAACAAGAAAAACATGTTCAGATATTTGGTGTGAATATATGGCATAAATTAATAATTGTCCTATGTGAGATTTCCTTGTCTTTTCCTTATCGAGACATCATATGCAAGAGTTCAAATTAAACATGCCTTTAAGCATTTCCTCTGATCCCAGAGCAGCTGTTGGCACTAATACTACACACACACATGCTTTGCTATGTACGCTTGCTGTGTTCTTCTACGTGTGGTATGTAATCTATGTAAAATGCAGATTCACTGAAAGGTCATTCAATCTGAGATTGCCAATGATTTATAATCCCAAACCCTCTCTTTCCCCAATCCAGAAGTGAACGTGTTGTGTGCTGGTGTTTATTCTGTTGGCTGTGCTGTTTGAGGATGTTTGCTTACTTTTAAAAGTGTCAAATCCCTTGGATGGTGATGGAAAAAAAAAGGGAAATGAATAAAAGGGGGGAAAAAAAGACATTTTCTCTTCTCTGTTCTTAAATTTCAGCCATTTGTACAATTTACATAAAAATTATTTTGAATCAGGAAACCAGAATTAAGTAGACTAATGCATCTTACTAACACATACGGAATCCTTTAATAGTCTGTTATCATTATATCATCAAATTTGATCATCATCATGAGATTTATGATATTTGAACTATACATACACATACATACATATATTTAAATCTAACGTCTATTTTGAGGTTTAAATTTACTATTTTCTAAGATTATATGAAAAATATTACAAAACACAAGTGTTTCCACAGCTTTTGGACCCCACTGCACACTCTAAGAAAAAAAACATTTAGAAAAATTAATACCGTCTCGGCAGAAAATTACCAGTACAATTTCTGTTCAGTTTACAGACATTTCCTTCAACTCTAAAAAACAATACAATGCAGTGCGTAATTCAAAATATGGGACAAACACATGTAAATAATCTTCATACTTCAACCTTCATACCACAGTATATTGGACTTTTCTTGGAGTGTATTTGTATTTGCACAAGTTTTGAAGACCTTACAAAAAAAAAAAAGTTGTTTCAAATGGTTCTGTCCACAATCATTTCATTACCATTTTTTTTTTGTGCATGTGCCTTTTTTTACATTCCAAAGTATGAATCCACACAGTTAAACTTCACAAAAGTGCAGATGCATATTATAGATGTTGCCACAAGGTGGTGCTCCTGTATACGAGAATTAGCCAGATCTCTGGTCATTCGTGTTCCAGGCTCACAACCTTGTCTTTGTAAACTCCTTTGAAAAGTTATCTTTTATTCTTTCAAAAACATTTCATACAGCCTCACCGTCCATCTTGCATATGGAAACCTGATGAACTTTCATTGTCAGAGATGTTTCAGGTGCATTCAGAGCACTGTTGCTATGTGCAGTAAATGAGTTCTTATTCGCGGTAGGTGATGCATTAGTAGGCCTCCAGGAGTCAGTAGATGTAGATGGGAAACCCTGTGGAGATTTGGGGCAATGCATAGGGTCCCGAGCAGAGGCCGGAGGGCTCCAGATCCTGTGTGTTCTGCTGAGGCAGTGGCCACGGAGAATGTTCTGGAAGGCCTTCTTGAACTCCTGACTGAAGCACGGGTAGATGATGGGGTTGAGGCAGCTATTTAAGTAGCCAAGCCAGAAAGTAATTTTGAAGACAGTGTCCGGGGGTCTATGGGATGGGAAGATGGAGCCTTTGGAGACACGGAAAGAATGAAATGACAAAATTACTATATGGAGCAAGAGACCTCCATCATTCATAAGGTCACCCCAAGACGGAGGGTCAAATGGTGTTGGATGTTTCATATTTTCAAAGGCTTTGCTTTGATGTGCGCATTTCCTTCCAGTATTTTGAAAGCTTTGAAGTGGATGCACAAATGACTGACTCATTGCATCTTAGCTGTCCAATTACTAAACACACAGGTCGATAAATAAGCTGTATTTCCATCAAAGTTCAAATGATTTGCCTGCAAACACATGTGGAATCCATAGAAAAGATGGTTTTCTGAACTAGGGCTGCTGTTAAAAGCCTCTGTTCTAGGTTGAAACAGACTGCAATACTTTCTCTTTCTTTCATAATTCATTCTTTTGTTGTAAACAAGCTCATTTAAATGCAATCTAAAAGGCCCAGCAAGGATTATGTCAATGTTGTTTACGCACAGAGGCATATTGTGGGAGAACATCGAGTCGTTTGGAAACATGGGTGAGAATAAACATCAGAAAATAAATGTAATGTGTTTTGCTTGAAAACAGAGTGTGTCTATCAAATACGCTCACATACCGCGTTTAATTTAACAAAATATTCAGAGCAGTATGTTCTTTGAGTTATTGCAGTTAAAGGTTCAACAAAATTTGGTCATCGTTTACTCACCCTCATGTCGTTACAAATCCAACTTACTTTCTTCTGGATGTTTTCTGAGAAATGAAAATGAATAAGGAGGAAACAGCCAAAATGACACTCATGCACTATATTCTATTCTGCTGAAGGCGCACAATAGATTTGTATGAGGAACAGACCGAAATTTAAGCTACTCAAATCTCATTTGTGGCTGTTTATATTTACAATAAGCTCCCCTCTGCAGTAGCTCTTAAATATTTTATCATCATTTTAAAGAAAAACAAAACTAATATAAAAAAAAAAACAATTAAATAAAAATTGTGTGGTGTGACCAAAATGTAGAGAAACAAAACAAACAACACAACACAAGCTACTAACCAGTAGCTCTCAAAACTCATTCGCACTTTCACATTCAAACTGGCACATTCAAACCTTAAATAATTTGCCATTATATTCTATCATTTTTCTACTAAAAACAAAAGTAATAATTACTTTTGTTTAAAGTGATAAAAGTTGTGTAGTGTGACCAAAAACAAACAAACAAAAACAAAAATAGGCCTAAACAAAAACAACACAACACACACGATATAAAACAAAAAGCAAAACAAAACAAAAAGTCACTGAATAATATTAGATAATTGATTATTTTATGACAAGAAACATGTTTGTTTAGGTTGGAAAATGTTATGTGGTGCAACTGTGGTGTGAAATTAATATTGTACAATTATAAAATAATATAAAAAAAAAACTATTATCTGAATTCAAATTGTATTTTATTGTTTGTTTGTTTTTTTTGTTGTTTTTTTTGGATGGGCTTTGCTGTGTTCACAAAAACGTTTAGTTTATACTCACTTATGGGCAGCACTAGGAAAAAAGGCAGCCAGCAGAGTACAAAACATCCCACCACAATCCCCAGAGTCTTGGCCGCCTTCTTTTCCTGGGAGAACTTAAGCAGACGCATGAAGGCGAAGCGCGAGTTCTTCGAGTGTACTGCTTTCTCCTTCCCGGTGGCATGCTGGGCGTTGCGACAGTGGATCCGCAGGGTCACTCCGTGCTCATTTGACCCATTCGTCTGCCAGCCCTTCCTCATGGAATGAGTCTTTTGCCGGGCCACCACATACACTCTGCAGTACATGACCAAAATCACCGTCAACGGCACGTAGAAGGAGCATGCAGCGGAGAAGATGGCATATCCCGGCTCTTCATTCACTCTGCACACCGACTCGTCCTCCGGCATGGGCTCCCTCCATCCGAACAGCGGGCCGACGGAGATGGCAGCCGAAAGAGCCCATAGAGCCACCACTGCCGCCAGTGCCCTTTGACCTGTAGCCATGGAAGGGTACCGCAGCGGGTAACTGACGGCCATGAAGCGATCCACAGAGATCACGCAGAGACTGAGGATGGATGCCGTGCAGCATAGCACGTCAAGTGCAGTCCAGGCGTTACATAAATGATGGCCGAACACCCAACGGCCCAAGGCTTCAGATGCGGCGGAAAACGGGAGCACCATGGAGCTCAGAAGTAGATCTGCAACGGCCAGATTGGCGATAAAATAATGCGTCACGGAACGGAGATGGTGATGGCACACCACGGAGAGGATGACTAGGATGTTGCCCATCACACCGAATATTATAAAGAGCATCAGCACCAGGCCCAGAGCCAGTGTCTTAGTGATGTCTATGTCAAACGCAGGTATGGCAGTGCAGTTGGGACAGTTCTCAGGAAAAATGGTTAAACTTATGTTATCTTCTGCTGGAAGCACATTGGTCATGATGTGAGAGTCCCTATGTGCAAGTTATGAGGTTAAGATTGAGTAGCGGACATGCTGTGCAGATGATAACCATCCATGACTTTTAATATGTTTGTGGTTTCAACACAAACACACTTTAGTAGCCTGCCAGTCACACTCACACTCACAAATGTCAGACATTTGACTGACATTTCATCTTCTCAGGTATCTCTTTTGATATCAGCCATTAGCCATCATAGTTTTTTTCTGATCTTGCAACCTTAAAAAAAAAAAAAACAGATTATAAGCAATGTTTCTGACAGGATTTTGTTTTTGCACCAACCCTCACATGCTAACTTGCTCAACCAAAAAAACAATGCTATTTTTCCCAACTTGTTTATCTTTTTTATGCAACCCGGTTATGGATATGTATCTTTAACTACAAGTGTAATGTTGGTTTTTGGGTTTAAGTTGTTCTTGTCTTAGTTCTTGTCATTGTTATGTCCTTCAGTCAATGTGTCATGTTGTGATTGGTTGTTTTAGACATGTGTCTTGTTTCTCATTGTTTGGATTGTGTCATGTGACCCATTTGGTTTGATATATATATATATATATATATATAGCCCTCATGTTGCCAATGCCATTGTCTCTTGTCTAACTTTGCTCGTGTATCTACTGTTTGCTGAGTTTGTTCATGTTTTTGCCAAGTCTTGTTCATTGTGTTTCTGCTCACTTTTGGATTTTATTAAACTGCACATGGGATCTCATTCAACTTGCCTCCAGTGGATGTTCATTACAACAAGTTAACATAAACATCCAATAAGTAACTAAAGTGATTTAAGTTTCATTAACCGAATGAATTAGCGTTTTAACGTTGCTTTCCAAATAAAACAGTAACAGTTGTTTGCTCGAGTAGCCTGCTGTTCTTCTTCAACTGTTATACCTACAGTGAGTATCTACAGTAAGAGCAGTAGTATGCATTTCTGAATTTAGCCATTGTGTTCTGTTCAGACTGATTCACTGATTCATTAGAAGGAACCATAGATTCCTGTTTCATTTTGAGAATTGCGATAGCTTGCTGCAATATATGTTTGTTTTCGTTTGCAGTCAGCGAGATGATTACAATTGAAAGTTGTTAATTTTCAGTATATATTATTTTGAGGCATTTACAAATCACAATTCGGATAAAATACATATATTATCATAAAAATGTCTCAATATCTGGCTATGAACCACTTATGTATTTAGCTCAATGCGACTGATTCTTAACCCCTCTGCAATAAGTAATTGGATGGAAAAGTGCCTGTTCCTTCAAGTTACTATTGGGTGAATTGTTTCGGTGTAGCAGTTGTGTCCTGCGGATGTTTAGGCGCCTCAGTTCACAAAAGCCATTTAGGAATGATCTTTTTGTCAATATGGTGTGATGCACTAACTGCAGGAGCTATATACAGGCCAAATCTCTTTCACTGAAACAGAACTAAGAAGTTCCTGCTCCAAACACCTTAGGAAAAGAAATATAAGGTGCGTTGCCAGATATCATATTGGGAAAACGCTTTAAAGCTGATTAAGCAAAGCTTGGGGAATTTATATAAAGGTTTATACACAAACCAGACAGCAACACTGACATCTATAATGTCTTGGCAAGAGCAATATTTCAACAAACCATGGCAACATGGAAATTAATATGCCTTGTGCTTACAAATAAAACCTAGATGTATACATTCAAACCATAAAATGTATGATTAAACAAAAGTCATGTTTTGTTGTAATCAGGTGTGCTAACTTTGAGTCTGTCTATCATCCATCTGGTGAGCCTGGCTAAATATACTGTGCCCAAAATGAGAGGGGTAATAATGATTTTATTATATTATTATACAGTGTAATGTTTGTCAAATTATGAAACTGGACCGACCAAAAGGCTTCCTGTATTTTTGTTAGAATCAAAGGCATTTAAGGAGGAAGTTGTCACAATGGAAACTGTTATTTGAAAAAAAAAAAAAAATAATAAATTAACGAGTTATGCAACATATATAACTATTTGATGATATTGTAGTAATTATATAGGTCTATATGCAAATTCCTTCAAACTACAAATATATGTCAACATTTATACATGGCTGCTGAAAACAGTCACATGACCTTGGGGCCTCTGAAAGATGATGTCTGTGTTAAAGTGACGTCATACAGAGTTATATGCTCTATATTAATATAGTAGTAAAATAAATCATTATCACAAGACATGTCAGTGATCACATTTGTGAGCCCAATTTTGAATAAGCAACAGATTCACATTACGTCACATTAGGAAAATCATAAAGTTTTTTTTTTTTTACATTAAATGCAACACAGTAAAAGTAAAAATAAATATGTAAATATGTTGGTTTATCATATACCTAATACTAAATATTTTGTTTGCAACTTCCTTTTCATCGTATTGAGCTACTCTGGAGTTTCTCCCCATCTTTCAGTGTGTGACCAGGAATAACTTTTCAGAAAAGACGCACTGTAAATAGGTTGCTGTAAATTTTACAGTAACTTACTGGCAGCTGGATGCCAGTAATTTACTGTAAAAATGTTTACAGTATTAGTACTGTAATTGCATTTACAGTACAATAATGTCTTTACTGCGTGCAGATGTAGTTTTATTTCGACTATCGGCTGAGTGAAAGGTTCTCCCTCAGCTAGGATCATTTGGGGATTAAATGAGTTAAGAAAACGTGTCGTTTGAAACACAACAAAACCACTGCAAGAGGAAACAAGCATTTGTGTAATTGGACATTTGACTCAAAACCTGACTGAGACATGGCAACTGTGACAACTTAACTTACCCCGTCAAAGTTGCCTTGCCTGCTAGTTTTACTAACTGTCCACAAATTAGACATACTGCCACACTAAACAGTAATACAGTTTGAACTAAACAATTTGATACCAATTCAAACGAACTCGAAATCGATGAATTATAATGCATCTCTTCAGGTATGAGGTACCGGATCTTATAACATAGTAATCGCGTCTGTAATAGTCGCATGCTGCGTTCGCAATTATATTCATTCAATCAATCAAACAAACATTAAATTGCGTTTTTTTTTTTGTCTTCCTTCAGTCTAAATATCCTTCTCAAAATTAACTGCACTTACCTTAATTCAGAGCAACATCTGTAAAAGCGAATGAGTTGTATAAAACAATAACCCGAGTCTGATGAGGAATCTGATGGGATGCAACAGTGTTTGTGCAAATATCTCAGGCTACTCTCTCTCTCTCTCTCTCTCTCTCTCTCTCTCTCTCTCATGGTAAAGTATTTTTTTAATGATCAGATTTTTTTTGTCATACTAAGTTGTTTGCATGAAGAATTGTAAAGTCACATCATTTTAATTAGTGTCTTCTTAGCTTCTAATAGGCATAGCTAGTATGTGTCAAAGATATTGTGTCAAGCTAACAGCCTATACCAAGTTTTATCACGGCTGTCAGTGTAGGGACGGTTGCAACAACCTAACATTATGCTGCCCCTTACCACAACATTGATGTAAAAACTTCCCATAACATTACATAATTGTAATTTTATGGATTAATAAAGAACCCCTTTCAATAGTCAGGTATCTCTCCTTTTTTTATTTAAGTATAAATAGGTTAAAAATCAGTTCGAGTCTAAGGTGGACTAATTCCCTTCACTCTCACCCTCATACACGTCATACATACAAATTAATATTTTGTAGGTCAAATGTATTGTAATAGTTAACCAAAACATCTGTGCACACATAAAATAAAGTAATTTCAACATGATTTAATTACATTTTAATGAATGTTGCAACTGCCCCTGTGGACTGTTGCAACCATCCTGTTGTGGGCTCTGTTGCAACATTTGATTTTGTCTATTGAAGTATAAATTGTACGTATATTATCATATGTACACATGCTAGTGTGGGTGAGTAGCTGAAAGATGTTGCTTTATTGTATTAAAATGTTGGCTTTCTAATACAAATAGTCTCTGAGAAACTAAAGGAAATACGAAAAGTGTTGCAACTGTCCCCACTCTCCCCTTACTAATACTTTCATTTCACTTTTAAAAGATGAGTATATACAATGTAATCATTAAACAAACAAACAAAAATGTTTTCAAACATGTTTTCAGTGTGTATAAAGACATACTATATATATATATATATATATATATATATATATATATAATTTTTAGTAAATTTGCTACTTAAACTAATTATGACAGCATTTATTTCAAGCATTTGAGACTTCTACTTAAACATTTCTTCTTTTTTGCAACTTCCAAACAGTTACACAACCTAGTTTGACTGACAAAGAGGATCAAAGTGAATTTTAATTCAGAATGTTCTTAGAAGAGGTTTATTCAAGTCATTGTCTGTATCAATCGCATTTTTGATGTATTTTTGAATAACAATATATCTGAACTAAAAAAAAAGAAGCATCACGTCATTGATCCATGTGCATTTTAAAACTTAAGTGCTTTTTTGTGGGTCTCTTAGGTCTTCTTGTATTGGTTTGATATGAAAGTTTCTAAGCACAATTTGTTTCTGCTTGAACAGTCGGTGGAGAACAGTATAATTCATCAGCACTGATCACCGACATCCCTGAAGGTCAGCTTTGGTAATGAAAGTGAATGTCACAGCCAAAGAAAATAAATTATTTATGTGGCTATATGAAATGGCATTCCCGCCTGTGGCTGTGAATGTTGCTTTGTATTTCTTCAACTGTCCATTACTTTCTCTCGAAGATCCATCAGCATGATTTGTTTCATAATTCTTTCCACAATAATCCATGCCCTCAATCTATGACCAGAACAAGAAAAGTCCTCTGACTCTCCAAAGGTTGTGTGTCTCTATTGTCATTGCATGAGAACATAAATTAGATGTCATGTCATTTCAGTAAGACTTTCTTTATAGGTTACATTGATTTTGTTCTTTAAGTGTTTGACTGCTGGTCCCCATCCATTTTCATTGTATGGAAAAGAGCAGCATTAACATTCTTCAAAACATCTTCTTTTGTGTTCAACAGAAGACCATGTGTTTTGAATGACAAGAGAGTGTAAATAATTCATTTTCATTTAATATTTTTCTCCAAAAACAAAGAAATGAAGAACACATGCACC